ACAGTATCTGCTGGGCCTTTTTAAGCAGTTTAGAGGTATTCACGCCACAGGTCAGATCCTCCTTAATGTTGACTCCCAGAAAGCGGAAGGCCAGCACCCTCTCCACACGGTCTCCACTGATATACAGTGGCATGATGTCGGTTTTCTTCCTCCTGAAGTCGACAATGACCTCCATAGTCTTTGAGGTATTAAGGAGCAGATTGTTCTCTCTGCACCACACTATCAGCCTCTCCACCTCATCCCTGTAGGTAGTCTCATCCCCCCAGAGATAAGCCCCACCACAGTGGTGTCATCAGAAAACTTTACAATGGTGTTGCCATGATGGGCGGGGGTGCAGTTGTGGGTGTACAGGGTGTAGAGCAGAGGGCTCAGCGCACAGCCTTGTGGGGAACCAGTGCTGAGGCTAAGAGCCGTGGATGTGTGTGGACCCAATCTCACCCTCTGGCTGTGTCCGGACAGGAAGCTCGTAATCCATGTGCAGGTGGGATATGGTATTCCCAGGTCCACCAGTTTGTGGGGGAGGATGGTGTTGAATGCAGAGCTATAATCCACAAAGAGCAGCCGTGCACAGCTCTCCTGATGCTCCAAGCAGGACAGCACAGCATGGAGGGCTGTGGCTACGGTGTCCTCTGTGGATCTATTTGTCCTCTATGCAAACTGGTGTGGGTCAGATGCAGGTGGGAGGAATGACCTAATGTGTCCCTGTACCAGTTTCTCAAAACACTTCATCACCACTGGAGTGAGTGCAACTGGCCTGTAGTCATTGAGGCTGGTTATGTTGGGTTTCTTAGGCAGGGGACGCCGTCAGGTCCAGCAGCCTTCCTCGGGTTTACGGCCCACAACGTGCGCCTCACCTCATGCTCCCCTACTGAGCCCTAGTCCCCAGTACTTTACAGAAATAACTGGGGCAAATTAACTCTCAAATAAATCAGGTAGACAAAACTAAGCCTCTCATTTCCAGCCCATGACCACTGATTTTGCTGGCTGAATTGACAACTGGCAGGGGCATATTTTATCATCTTAACCAATTAAGCTAAATTTAGATCCATGAGTTATTTTGAAAATGCCATGTTCAATTGAATTCTTATTTTCTCCACCTGACTTGCTTTAACATGAAAACCCTTTACAAGAGTCTGCAGTTGGTAGCTGTACTCATATCATGCTAAACCAGGCTAAAGCTAGCAAAAAGCTAGCGTCCTCGCCTGTTGGGACATGTCGAAGACAAGGAAATAAAGAAACAGCCTGGTTGTTTGTCTGGTCTTTGTGGTTGTTTTGTGTTTTCTTTTTTTAAGCATTTGTTTATTTATGTCTTTGTGGTTATTTTCTGTCTCTTTTTGCTCAAATTAGGGGGGCTTGTGACTGGAATACTTTGGCCTGCCTTTGTAGGCCTCTTTAAGCTCTGTGACACAGTTGATTAAAAGTCACTCAATTAAGCAGCACAAGTCCAGGGTCCCCAGACTCCTCGGACCCCTCCTGGGCCTGTACCCTGTGTGGTTGTATGTTTTGGCCTGGCTGATATGACTGTGTAAAAAGCACTGAATGAATTGCATTCTTGTGATACTAATAAAGTCTTAAAGTCTCAAATCTAATCAGTTGAACTCTGCAGAAACCCTGATTTGCATAATTGATATCAATCACCATAGCAACAGATGATCCAATCAAGAGCCTAAATATGTTTCAGCCTTTTGATCATGGCTTTGTTAGAATCAGGTAGCATTAGCAGCAACACCATAAATGTGTGTTAATGCAATGGGAAGCTGATCTGAAACCAGTCACGAAGGGCAGATGCTAATCAGCGCACCGTGACTATAGATTGGTTGTTTACTTCTCTTCCTACAGCCCTAGAGGTTCCTCTGCATCTTATCGAGTGAGAGATTAGGTTCCCCATTGTCATTAGGAGCACATACACAGTACACACACTCACAAACTCGAAGCGCACCTTGGCCGAGGAGCTCTCACTTATGCCTGACTGACCAGCTTTGGCTGTGCTGACTGAATGGCTGACTGGTGTGTATACTTGTGTTTAGATTAGGGAGGCTGGGTGCGGGGGAAGGGAGGCCTATCTGGCTTTTGTGTGCTGAGCGTCCTGGTAAATGAAGGCTTTGGCCACATTTCTGAGAATGACCCCCTACAGCCACAGTTTGAGTGGGCGATGCTGCACACAGCCTATGGCATGAAGCTCTCGCCAGGCTGAACTCTGTAGGGAGCTGAGCTGCTGCTCTTTCACAGGCTAACGTCCGGGCCTTGTTTGCCACCACAAAGACACTCCCCCTTGTGTTCCCCCCTCACTCAGACATCCTCCTCGCTGAATCCTACAGAGACGCCTGGCTTAATTGTGCGAAGTGCTGAACCACTGTGTCAAGGCGAGACTGTTATCGGGGTATTTGAACAGTCTGGGCTTTCTTCAAAAAAGGTATTAAAATGTTTTAAATTTAATTTACAGAAGTCTCTGGACTTTTCATTTTAATGCACAACAAGTACTTTTTTACTTTTGATACTTAAAGTACATTTTGCCAATGATACTTTTGTACTTAAGGTTTAAGTCCAGGAGAATTTTCACAGTGTGGTATTGGGGCTTGTACTTCTTCCATCACCATTAAACAGGTATGGAAACAGATCCTGTGTGGTGTTATAAAGTTAAATGTGACCCGGTGCACCCTGCAGAAACCCTGGTCTGACTCCTCGTTGGGAGTGAAGGGGTTAAGTTTGGTTGCTGTGCAGGCACAGAGCTGTATTATGCAAGCTGTGAACACACACACACAGAGGAAGTACATTACAGAGTGCTGAGCTCAGGGCTCTGGCTCACCGCCAAGCATACACTCCTGCATGTGCACACTCACACTCAGCTGAGGGCATACCGATTTTTCCAGCCTCCTCCTCCTCCTCGAGTCACTCTCTCTCTTTCAGTTACGTCAGTAGTTCAGCTGTGGGCCAGGCATGACTGTGGCCGGGCTGCAAAACAGAAAGCACCACAACTTTCTCTGTGTATTTAAGAGACAGGATGTAGATGTGTGGTTGTGTGATCCAGCATGTGTTTTTGTATCATGCCTGCTCTGCAGGAAAAGCAGCAGTAAGAACCGAAACATTTCTCTATTTCATGTTTCATTCTCAGACTTGATCTCGTAGTCCTTCTGCCTCTTTTGTTTTTGCTCACACAGCCCAACCACGTATGCAGACAAATACCTAGTCTGTCTGCAGCGGTCTTCTACCCAGCACAGGTGATGATATGTGTCAGCGATGTGCCACATGTGTGAGAACATTTGAGCAAAGTGGAAATCAAATTTCCCAGCAAATGTTCCAGGGTGAACAGCGCTGCATGCTCAGTTGTTGTGGGTAAACTCTATATCTGGTTGAATTTTGAAGTGAAAAGAAGTAAAAGCGGCTTATTTCATGAACTTAAAAAATAAGAAGCAGTAATTAGGAGGGTTTCCATTTAATGCTTTTCAGTCATACAAAAACCTGAGTGCTGACTCAGGACATTCTCTGTAGGTTCGGGCTAATTGTGGAGATATTTCTAATAATTCTCAGAATTTTTAAACCAAAGGATCAATTTATTAATCAAGAAAATAATTTGCAGTCTGTTATAAAATGGGCTCCCCCTCAAACACCAGTAAAGTGTTGCCTAAATATTAATGCACGAGTAATAATAATAATAATAATAATAATAGAGTAATGTATAACTGTACAACACTCACAGGCTACATTTTAATGCACTGCATATTTTTACTTTCAATATTCACAGGATATTTTCCTGGTAATATTTGTGCATTTCTAGTTAAATAACATTTAAATGCATGACTTGCGGTAAAGACTGGTGTTTTCAAATATGTGCCATGAGTTTTTTGTTAAATTAGACTGAGTGCACACTTGTCTGGTCGTGTATGGTATCAAGTGTTTATTTTACTGTCCAAGAGCCAAACAACCGCAGCTTTCAGAAATCTGACTTGAGTATTTTTAAGGTCACATCCACGTTAAAATCCGTTTCTCCGTCTATGTTTACCTTGCCTGAACACACACAGACCTGTAGGTTTCTGGTTGAGAGAGGACCACAGGGTCACTGTACAACAGCAGGTTTCTCTGCCTGTGGTGAACTGATCCCATCAGCCCTGAGAGAGCGAGGCGTTTAGGGTAAGGTAAGCACTGGAGGTGTTCTGGAACGGAAATGAGATTATTTGACTCTTAGCGCTCGCCTCTCTGCCCTTTCAATCGCCTCTCTCTCTCTCTTTTAAAAACAGTGCGTCCCTGGTGAACATTAGGTTGAGCCACGCTGTGAGGGAGTATCTGGTTTGATGTTTTTGAAGTGTGGGCATTTGCACAAAATCAGAAATGAGGTTTATGTGCAAGTGTTAAATTTCCTCAAAGCCATATTTGGCTTTTAGAGTGGTTATAATCAGGGTTGGTCCTGATAGCTGTTTTCTGTTTTGGATCTTGCTACTGGTTGGCAAAATACCAACCAAAGATTTATTCAACTCAGATGGTAAAAAGAATTAATTGACCCTTTTAGCGCTCCATATATTTTACTCTCAGAGGCAAATGTTGAAACCTGCAGGTAACATTAGCAGCTTCTCATTTATAGCCGTTGCGTTCTTCAGCTAAATGACCAACATCACTGGTAGATAATATCCACTGTGGCTGAAGTTAATGGTGTAACAGCTGTAGTGAGACTTAGTCAGCTGCTTAATGTGCTCGCTCCAAGCTGTTGACTGGACTCTGCCCAAGACCGAAGAGTCCAGAAACAGAGCTAAAACTGAGTGCATTCATCAGGTGGACACAAACTGGGCTCTGAATAAATAATGTTACGTTTAAACAGCTGGATGTGGAAATGCCAAAACTGTTTGCCATCAAGTTAAAGGGTAATGATTTGTTGTCTCTGCTGCCTTCCAGTAAATCAGATATTTTAGGTGTATACCAAGTATTTTTATGTATTTATTTTACAAAAGCTTCATGGTGTAGGTACTTGTTTATTCAGACGATTCATGATCTGTTCTGTTTCTGTGCAGGGTTTCACCTCAGTGGCACAGTAAGAGAACCTGCCACTTCCCCAGAGCCTGAGCTCATCTGCAACGTCAGTGTCAGTTTCGACCGCTGCAAAATCACAGCGGTAACATGCAGCTGTGGCAACAAGGACATTTTCTACTGCGCCCACGTCGTAGCACTCTCGCTGTACAGAGTACGGAAGCCCGAGCAGGTCAAACTGCGCCTGCCCATCTCAGAGACTCTTTTCCAGATGAACAGAGATCAGCTGCAGAAGTTTGTTCAGTACCTGATCACAGTGCATCACACCGAGGTGCTGCCGACAGCTCAGAAACTGGCAGATGAAATACTGTCGCAGAACTCTGAGATCAACCAGCTCCATGGTGAGAAGGGGGGGGGTTTGGAATGGAATGGTTGAAATTTGTGATTTCACTGGAAGAACAGGCTGAACTTGCACTTGTGTGTGTGTGTGTGTAACAAAGGCACAAACACATACACAGGCAAATACAGGTCTGAGTGTTAGATTTCCAGCAGAGGACTCAGGAAAAACCAGCAGTTAGCGACAACAGGAGGGAAACTCTTTGTTCAGACATTTGTATACGTGTGAGGACCTGCACCGGCATGGTGCTTTCCATAGCCCTTAACCCTAAACCTTAGGCTTAAGTCCTCAAACAGAAATAAGCCCAAAGGAACTTTTCCTAGGGGGGAGGAACCTTTTGCGGATCTTAGTTTCTCTACCTGCGTTTACACTGGTAGTTGTGTACTTTGGATTAGATGTAATTTGGCTGTATTCTGTTTAGTGCTCGACTCTTATGGATTTAATCGTCCCCAGTGACACGTTAAGTGTTAAACGTGTGGGATGTACATTTCCTTCATGGAGGCTGGTTACCGTTGCAGAGTTTTTGGTATCGATCAGTGTTTAAGCTTAGCCAGCACTGCATTAATGCGTTAGTGCATAAGATGATTTATTTGCTGATGGAGGCACATTCTGCTCCTCCCAATAAAGACACAGAATGTTTAAATGTACTGTATTATTGAGGTATTTTCATTGGATTAATTTCACAAAATAGAATTAAAAAAGTATTATTACAGACTTATTTGATCTCTGTTGTTATTAATAAAGTAATTAAATTGAGTCCCAGCTTTACCTGTTGCAGCTTTAAAGTAATGCACACATTAATGCATCAGTAATTATATTCCTATAATATATAAAATTCTTAAATGACCTTTTCTGCATAATGAGATAAGATGCATAGGTGGATTTTCACCACTGATTTCTGCTGTTCGGTGCAGGAGCTCCAGATCCGACGGCAGGGGCCAGCGTGGACGATGAGAACTGCTGGCATCTGGATGAGGAGCAAGTTCAAGAGCAGGTCAAGCTCTTTCTCTCCCAGGGCGGGTACCATGGCTCGGGAAAGCAGCTCAACTTACTGTTCAGCAAGGTAACGACCTGCGGTGTCGTTAAACACGCGTGTGCTCACAGGTCACAATTGGCTTTGTGCATGTTTGTCTGATAGAACAGGTAGCCTGTGCTCATGGTCTCAAAACAACCTCCACTGCGATCAGTAAGAGGTACCACCCAGGTCTGACCTGGATCCTTTACACTCTACATAAACAGTGTTATCACCTCAATTCATTTTACTGACTGACATCGACTTGTCTGTAATTGTGCAGCACTGTGCAAACATTTGTTTTAAGCACCAAAGTGGAGATTCTTCCAAAATGATGCCATGAACAGGTTGTTTGTCAACAATACTCTTACAAAGTACAGTAAAAAGAAAAAAAAATCAAGCCAATATTTGCTGTGACTCCCATTTAAACCAGCACCTGCTCTCCTCAGTTCACAGGGGGGGGGTTTGGAATGGAATGGTTGTTATGACTCCCATTTAAACCAGCACCTGCTCTCCTCAGTTCACCTGCACAGTGTTTCCAGGGACTTGCCATGTCGGCTGTCGAGCATCTTGGAGAAGCTGCCACAGTTCTTCTGTGGATTCAGGCTGTCCCAGTGGCTTCTGTCTCTCCATGTGATCCCAGACTGATGCCATGAGAGCAGGGCTCTGGGGGGGGCAGGCCATCTGCTGCAGGGCTCCTGGTCCTTCTGCTCTCTGAACGTACATACTGTAGTTCTTTATGACTCTGGCTGGGGGTTTGGGCTCAGGGTCAGGCTGCAGGAAGAACTGAATGACAGACACCTCCCTGATGTTACTGAGTGATGGATAAGAGTCTAAGCATTTAAAGTGCCTAAATCTTTAGCACACTACTGAATATAAACAAGGCTGCTTTAATATTCAAGACATCTCTGTACTGAATGCTGATGTGACAAAATGTTTTATTCTTGAGAACTCATAATTCAAGTTTGTATATCTCTGCCATTCATACACTTAATAACTGAAATTCATATCTGTATTTGTCCCACAAATATCTGGGTGTTTTTCTAAACAGCAGTCTCACTTTTAAGAACCTAAGGATAAAGATGGGTTTCTCATATCAGTATGAGGGCTGTGGAATTAAATCAGCCTTCGTGTGTGGGTCTGACTGTGGAGAATAAAGGATGATTAATTGATTAGTCGTTTGCAACCCTGATATCTTTTATTCTCCTGTTGCTCGCTCAACCTTAAAATCCACTCGTTGTAGTTCATCACTGTGCTGGGACTTTCATTACACATACATGAAAAAGCAGTCAGATGTCTCCTGTTAAAGCTGCCTCTGTACTGTATGTCAGCCCTCAGGTAAATACTGAACCAAATTTAAGGGAAAGCATAAGATTTTAAAACTTAAAATGTGTCATCCCACCTTTATCTTTGAATCTGTTTCGTAACGTTGGTGCAGGTCTCTGCTGCTGCATGTGCTTTTGTTTGTTTCTCTCTCTCTGCTGTTTATACTGTGGCAGCTTTACCCACAATGCCCCTGTCTCTGTCCAGGTGAGAGAGATGCTGAAGATGAGGGACTCCAATGGAGCTCGCATGTTAACGCTGATCACAGAGCAGTTCATGGGTGACCCCAGGCTGGCGCTGTGGAGGCAACAGGGCACCACCATGACAGACAAGTACAGGCAGCTGTGGGATGAACTAGGTACAGTGAGAGCAGAAAAACACACTCACACATAAACTCACATCACTTTTTGACTGCATATGCATCAACATTAGAGGAGAGTGCACCTACAATATGTTGTTATTGTTCTAAATGCTTGGTTTTTCAGCCATGAACTTGTGGATCACTCAACAATCATCACTTTTTTTACAGGTGTAACTAAGATTTTCCACATTGTCCCACTGACAGTGGGACGTGGTGTCTCTCAGCTGTACCCCCCCTCCATGACCCTCTGCTGCCTGCTGTTTGTTTTGGTACCATTAGCAACCTAGCATGGTCAGGATTTTACCTTTGTGATGAATTAATTTGGAGCTTTGTGTCACATCGGCAGTAACCAGAGCTTCTACTGGACTGACACATTTACTGTTAGCAAGCTAATGCTGCATTTTGTACAGTTTGTCCCAATCAGGCATCTGTAGTTTACATCGTTTCTAGGAATCAGGATGTGATGGGAGGGGCAAAGAGGAGCAGCTGATGCTTCCAGTTTGTTTTGAGTCTCACTGGACCCTCTAGGCTGAGAAGACATTAGGGAGAGTAGGTTTAAGTGCTGTTCCTAAGTAAATGAACCACTGGCTAATAATCAGGATCTCTGATTTACTTTGGTTACAGCGACTGAAATCCATCATAAAACTACTAGTTTCGTTTCTGGCCTCTGTTTTTGTGTGTCACTCCCTGGTAGAGATTGTTGCTCTGCGTTTCGTCCCTCACGTTTGACGTCTCTTCGCTGTTTTTCCTCCTTGCTGTAACAAAGAGACGGAGGTTAAAGCCTCTTGTCTCGTCCCCTCCCCCATCCACTTCCACCTCACCTTTCCTTGCCTTCTTCCCTATTTTTCCTCACTTCATTTCATTTTGTCATCTGTCATGCTTCATTAAACCTTAACATATTCATTATCTCCCCCCAGTCCTGCCTTTCTCCACCACTCGGTATCCAGTGTTTTTAGTAACAATGCAGCAAATCACAGCGACAGTTTGATTAGTCCATCATCAGACAATTAATGTACAGCTATTATGATAATTGATTAATCATTTTAGTCATTTTTTAAAGCAGAAACTCCAACTCTTCTCTGGCTGCAGGATCTCTAATGTCCCATTTCTCCATGCTATTTCATTTTAAACATTATGTCTTTGGGTTTTGAGCCCTTTGGACAAATTAAATCATTTTAAACTGTCCTCGGACTCTGGGAAAACTATGGGCATGTTTTGTAATTTTCTGATTATTTTTAGAAACAAAATATAATTTTAAGTCAATTTTCAACAACAAAAAAAAATACAAACCATATCATGGTTCCAGCTTCTCTAGTGTAGGAACTTCTTTGTCTCACGTTATGGTAGAATTAAGGTGATTGGGTTTTGGACTGTTGGTCGCACAAAACAAGGAGAAAAGCATCAGAACGAAAATCAAATTAGGAGAGATTTAAAACATCTGATTAAATAATCACCTAATTAATGAAGAAATATCAGCAGATTAATCGAAAACCAGCTGTCCAGCTCTGCCTTACATCTGTTTTAAGGACGAGATAAAGGACTGTAAGCAATGGAACTGTCCAGATGGGCAGATACTTTTGGAACTTGCATGAAAATACAGATGTGCTGTGAAAACTGCACTACCTCCATCAGTTACACCTACAGCCTGTGATTGCTCTTTTATAAATAGTGCTTTAACTTTTCTCAGTTATTTCTTGGTTTGTGGCCCTTTATCAAAAGGACAGGAGCCATTTAGCTTTCTGTTCCTCAGAAAAGGAAGAATGATGTTTCCTTACACCTTACTAAAAAGTTGCTGCTGTTCACTTGATGCTAGTTTTTCCTTTCATCACCCATCTGTAGTTTTGTGGCTTATAATTTTTGCCACCAAGGCTGTAATGATATTTGTGCTTTAATCATAACTACAAGCCGTCTGCTGCTGTGCCTGTGTTTCTGTGCAGGGGCCCTGTGGATGTGCATTGTGCTGAACCCCCACTGTAAACCCGAGCAGAAAGGTTTCTGGCTTCGACAGCTTCGCAGGTGGAACGGCGTGGACATTTGTCCCTTGGAGGACGGTAACCATGGCAGCGAGCTGACCAATCTGACAAACGCTCTGCCGCAGGGTCCTCCTGGCAACCCAGGTGAGATGACGCCCAGCTGCAGCAGAGACATCGCTTCCTTGTATTTATTTTTTTATTTCCAAAACCCTCCTGCATCACATTGATTCATTTTCCTCCTCCTCCTCCTCCTCCTCTTCCTCTTCTTCTGCTGCTGTGTTAACACCATTAAGTCCTTCTCCCCCTTCCCCCTCCTCTTCTTTTCAGTCACACCTCCTTCCTCCTGTCTCGGCGCCTACGAGCCTTATTACTGTTTTTGCGTGGCTAATAGAATGAACCTAGTAACACAGTTGAGGTCATGCAACTTTTTCTGGGTTCTGTTCTTCTGTGAGACAAGAATACAGACCCATGGACATTTCTGTCCGGGGCCATAATTTCCGCACATTTGTTGTTTTGACATTTTTATTTCTGCTACAACAGCAGCCTTCAGTTAGTGACGTCCTGAGTCTTAGTAATGTCAGAAAAGTTCATTTTCTCACTGCCAGTAATATTATGTCTTACTTTTATTTCAAATTGTCAGATCTACATTTACCATATTTTAGGAGCTGTAAACAGGAGGTAAAATGTTGCCATGGAGACACTGTCAGTCATCTGTGGACTACAGCTGTTTGCTTTTGGCTGGTTGTTTGGTCTTCTCTCTCTCTTCATCTACAGGCTTTGAGCAGAGGCACTGCACGTCTTAGCCAGACAGACTGTACCGTGTACTGTTTACAGGATAAGCTGGGGCGCTTGTGGAGTACTGGAGTTGTATGTTTTAGGACAGAACCTTGATTGATGAGCCAGATCCGAGCCTTAGGAATGTCAAAAAATATTGATAGTGCAACATGCAAAGGTTAAATTTTATCACTCCAATTATTCTACATTGAGCATAGTCATGCTGTTTTGAAACTACAGTTACCATATGGCTCTGGGGGTGTAAACAGGAAGTACAGAGGTGCAACTTACTCAGACTACAGTTTGAGGTTTGTGTTTTGAGCACCACTGAAAGTAGCTCAATTAGCCGTTTGCAGTGTATCAGTAGAAGTACAGACAGCTCTCACTGCAGGTTTTTGTATAAATTTCCATTGTCTTTTA